TTTTAGAATTATATCTAAATTTTCATGAGGGGAAAAAACAACATGATAATAAGAATCACACATTCAAATAATTTGGAAATATTTTCTGCTTCTGAACTTACACCAAAACAGTTTTAAAAAAATAGAATCAAAATTAATGAAAGTAGGACTTTTACATTTGCATGTTCTATTTTTCAGTTATATCACAAGATTGATTATCCTGAAGATTTTTTCAGGGAATGAATCAGAAAGTTGACTCCTTTGCATGATCATTTTGAAAACCGCAAATAATCTGGCCCAAAATGATAATCTAGTGACCCCTATTAACATGGGTCGGTAGATTTTTATATTGACAATTGCAATATAGATCAAGCATTAATGAATTTTGATGAGCAATAAATGAGAAGATTTGGTTTGAGAAGGATTCTCCTCATAAGACAGCCAGTTTGGTCTAGTGGTTAAAACTCCTAGAAAGGAGGAGACTGTGAATTCAAAGTCCCGCTTTAACCATGAAAGCCAACTGGTTGACTTTTGAGCCAGTCATTCTCTCTCAGCCATGCTTACCCCACAGGGTTGTTGTGGGGAAAATAGGAGGATGGTGTGTTGGATATGTTTGCCACCTTGAGTTCTTTGTAAAAAATAATGAAGGTTGGATGCAAATAAATAAATAATAAAATAATCCTATAGCATTGCCAGACTGAAGTAGCTTCCTCCCGTAGATTTCCGTCTGTTGCATTTCAGTCACAAAACTCGATACACAAAAAAAATTGACTTTTCGTATTGAATAGTTGAACATATTACGGCAGCCCAGCTCAGTAGCCCAGCAGTATAGCAACAACTCATGGGTCTCTTATAAAAAAAAAAAAAGAATGCTCAGCCTATGCTGTTTCTATTTCTTCCAGGAGAATGGAAGAAATAAAGAAAGTAGAATGCAGCACAGAATAGCTTTCTAAATCTTATGGCAAAATTCAGATTTGCTTGACACATAATATTGCTGTGCAGCATTTCATTCAAAGGAGCCCGGGAAGAAAATGATCTCACTAAAGTATATTTCTCTTTGAGAAGCAATATTTTAACCTGGAAATTCAAGAACAGCAGTTTCTTTCTTCTTGTGGAAGGTTTTCATGCTCATTCCATGTACAAGCCATTATAAGTGCAGCTGACTGGTCCATCTTGATACTTCCATTCAAACTGTTGGGATTTTTAAAACCAAGTCATAACTCCAATCTATGGTCTGTACAGGACTCCCTTCTTCAATTTATCCTCACAACAACTCAACAAGGTAGATTAAACAATGCAGTATTTTCTTAGTGCAAAATAACCAATGGTCTTTTGTGATTCAGAGTGCTGTTGATGAGAACCCCATAAAGCTAAATCTAGCTTCATCTTGATTGTGCAATGCAATTAATATTGCATTTGTATCACATTTCTAATTATAAGAAATCCAAAATACAGAGAAATTGCATATATATATATGTGTATTATATATGTAATTCTAATAGAGCATTATCAATTCTAAGGCTGTTATGAAATATTAAAATGTATTGTAGATTTTTTTATGTTCCTGTGGCCTATTCAGCCTGTTAACCTTTGGCATTATGTCCTATTGCTTGTATGCTTTGTCTGGAGCAAAATGAAATCAGTGAAAGTACATAGAGACATAAATTCAGTCCTGCAGAGAATATATTTGCTCTGACCCTGCTCCATAATAACATCACAAATAATGTAAGATTACCCGTCTTTGGGAAAGAAGGCATGAAAAAACAGCTTGGAGACACAAAAATCCCATATTTTAAAAAACTGCCTTTGTTCTGTAGGTCTCCTGGGTCAAAGAACAATAATAACAAAGAATAAGGTGAAATAACGTAATACCCCAATGAAGAGAAAAAAGAACAGCATGTGCAAGGCTTTATAAATGTTATGGGTTTTGAACAATTCAAAAGCAGCTGAAATAACATATCAGCAAAATGACCTTTTACTCCATGCTGTTGTTAAAGTGATGCAGACCAACAGTAAAGAGTTGTGTTTTATTGTACTGGTCTTTCATAACAATTTCGGTTTTGGATTCATTGTAGTTAATCTACATGTAAAAAACTAAGAGGGGGACATGAACTTTTGTATGTGCAGATATGTGCGTGTGTAAGCACACGCATCTCAATAAACCCGCACACATCCCCGTGATCACGTGATCAAAATTCAGATGCTTGGCAAATGCCTCATATTTATGATGGTTGCAGGATATCAGGTTATGTGATCCTCTCTTGTGACCTTCTGACAAGCAAAGTTAATGGGGAAGCCAGATTGACTTAACCCAGGTTATTAATTTAATAACTGCAGGGATTCGCTTCACAAATGTGGCCAGAAAAGTCGTAAAATGGGGCAAAACTTACTAAACAAATTTCTCACTTAGCAACATAAATTCTGGGCTCAATTGTGGCCGTAAGTTGAGGGCTACCTTCATCTTTTTTAAAGTTACAAGAATTTTTTTTCTCCCCGTAGCCTAACTTTTATCTTTACACAATCTGTCATCTTTTCATGCTCTGGTTTAGCAAAAAGTCCACATGGAGTCACCAGAAATATCAAACAAATAGTTTATCTGCGAGTTCACATTGTCATCTGTAAGCATGTGGCATATACGTTCTAGTTTCTATATTGTAATTAAGGAATATGTAACAATTTAAAGTTACTGTTTACATGTATTTGCAGTTTACTCATAGATGTAGGGAATGACCAGGCTGAGCCTGAGGGAAGGGGGTCAAACATGCCATCAGTCTTGAGTCCCTTCGCGCCCACAAGAGATCTAAGTCCAGCCCACCTTGAATTCCTTTTACTCTTATCTCCCGCTAATTTCCCTTGACCGTTAGTAGTTCAGATTCTTGTAGAGAGCATTAGCTTATAATAAACCTACATTCATTTGAACTGCCTGGACTCCTGATTTCCCGCACTTGGTATTATACTTGTATTGTAGCTCATACATTTGTACTTGGATTGGGCATGAACCATTTTTCTTTCTGCAGATGGTATGCCAGATATTAAAGGAAACATTGGACATGAGGCTGGAATCTGTGATGTATTTGCAACCATGAAGAAATTCTGTCTATTGCTATCTTCCTGAACAATATTATTTGAAGTATGGGTAGTTCTCGACTTACAACAGTTCATTTAGTGACCATTCAAAGTTACAATGGCACTGAAAAAAGTGACTTATGACCATTTTTCACACTTATAACCATTGCAGCATCTCCATGATCACATGATCAAAATTCAGATGCATGGTCACTGGCTTATATTTATAATGGTTGTGGTGTCCTGGAGTCATGTGATTCACCTTTTGTGACCTTCTGAGAAGCCAAGTCAATGGGGAAGCCAGATTCACTTAACAACCATGTTACTAACTTAACAATTGCAATGATTTACTTAACAACATTGGCAAGAAAAGTCATAAAATGGGGCAAACTCACTTAACAAATGTTTCACTTAGCAAGATAAATTTTGGGCTCAATTGTGGTCGTAAGTCAAGGACTATTTGTATACCCCCTTAGCTTTACCATTACATGCCCAAATACCAGCCCCTCTCTGTTCAACGGGGCTGTAGTGCAACTGTGACAAGCTATTCTGTTGTAATCAGGAGGTCTTTTAGAAAAAGAGAATGCCAAATATACATTTTTCTAATCAATTAAATAGGACAAAGAGTAACAATTTTTCCTGTGAGCAGAGGATCATATTTGTAAAACGATGTGATATGGTTTAGGCACCTGAATGTACAATCAAACAAAATAGCTTTCTGTTTGTTTTTCAAGGTTCTTCTCTTGCTCTGTCTCCGAGTGATTGTGTGTGTGTGTGTGCGTGTTTGTGTGTGTGTTTGCATGCATGCATAAGTCTGAGGAGGGGCATAGGCAATGGTTAGCCCCTCCTGGACTCTTGATAACACAGACATGCTCTGAACGCCCTCCACCAGGCTAATCCTGAGCTTAAGCTGGCATTTCTCCTGTAGAGCTGTCTTCCACACACAATCGAAGGTAAGTGGAGCTAGAAAGAACTTAGAAAGTGGGAAATATTGAATGTCAGGATGGGCTTCATTTTGTCTGGGGATTTGGGCCATGTTGGGTCTTTGAAATTGTTGCTTCTTTTATAAGAAAGCAACTTTCTTTCCCGCACTGTATTAGCAGGAGCCTCATATTCATATCTCCACCAGCTTGCTGGTATTTTAAGAAATGCACCAGGTTTCAGAGGGCTGTTTGCAGTTGAGGAATACAGGAAAGAAAAGACTGGGGGATACAGAAAAGATGTCTAATGCACAGGATTTTTGTTAAAGGTAGGAACTGGGAAGAGTTGGCGAGGAAGGAGAATTGTGTCAAGAAGACAAGATCAAAAGAACATTATGAAACTTTTGCTTTCTTCACTGGAGTTTCAGAAAGACTTTTGCTATAAAATCAAGCTATGCACATAAAAAAAGGATTTAGAGCATTTACATTACGTGAAAGCAAGGAGAAATTTCATGCTGTAGAAGGCAGTGTTTCTATTAATGCGAACTATTCTCTTTAAGAACAAGAATGTTTATCTTGGTGAAATATGCAGAGACTTACTAGCTGTGGGTTGAGCTAAAATGCCACTAATATAAATGAGAACACCCAATGAATGTCCTTATGAATCTAAAGCAATCAGTCAACATAGCTGCTGGCTGATTGCATAACAATAGAAAGTATCTGCTTTTGTAAGAGCAACATCCCCATCTGGTGTAGATCTTAACCACATCTGATGGGGGGTTGCAGCTTATTGTTTTTAAGGAAAGTAGAATTGTTCTCTGCTAAAAATTTGGGGAGGCAGAATGTGTTTGGTCAAGTAGAAGACATTGCTTGCAATTAGCTGTTGCTGCTCATCCTTATTGATGGTGCCTGTTCCAGATGGCTCATTGTACTTCTGTCTCCATAGGACCTGAAAGACAGTACGGAGCCCTTGGCCAAGCTGTTCTCACTAATGCTCTTGAAGAGGGGTGCTGGCACCTCCCTTGATTTCAGGAAATGAAGCTGCCCCACACATTCCCCCTGACTCTTCTCTTCCTCAGTTGCCTAGAATGTAACCCTTTCAAGAAGGGTAAGGATAACAGTGAAAAAGGAAAACCTTATTTCCCTTGGGCTCAGTCTGGTCAGTTCTCCACCCGTGACAAGCATCTGTGCAGTTGGCAACTCATCTCTGGAGAAAGGGATACTGAGCTCCAGATCACCTGTCACCCAGCAGAAGGAGAGGCACAGAGGTGTGTCTACCGGGGCCAGCCAGAGTTATGTGCTGCCTATAGTGCCAAAGGCCGTCAGTTCTGGAAGCAGATCCTGGGAAAGCTCCGTCGGAAGCGCCATCCCTGCCAGGACACCAGCCCTCTCAAATCCAGGCTTTGTAGCAGCCAGGATGAGGCATCTGAAGCCCACTTACACCTGGTACAAACCACCCCAAGCACAGACACCCTGGTAGCCACTGCGAGTGTCACTCAGGGAAGTTCCAAGGGGAAAGGCCATGGCAAAAACCTACCAGCATCACAGAGATCACCGCAAGTACCTCAAGACATGACCATCACCAATCCAACAAAGAATGGTGCTTTGAGGAAGCAAAAGAAAGGGGGAAAGAGGAAAGGAAACCCTAACTCTCCAGCAGCCCCAACCCATCCACCCCATAGGCAGCCTACAACAGCAGTTGTAGAAGGCAGGGTACAGCCCACAGAGCTCAATGCCGATGTGGTAGACACTTATTGTGAAGAAAAATGGCATTCCTTGTGTAACTTTTTTGTGAATTTCTGGAATGGTTGAACTTTCAGGGTAAGAGGAAGGGGGAATGGAGATGTACAGCAGAAGACTTAGTGATAAATATGGAAGGGATTGTTTGATATAAGGGCAGAAACAAACAAGGTCAGGTGAAAGGAAAGGGTGGAGTGGCAATGATTAAAGATTTGCAATTTTGTGCAGTTCTGGGGCTTTATGTGACACATAATTTACTTATTCCTATTAATCTTGATAATAAAGACACTAAGGGGTTGTGGAAGCTACGTTTGCATAGGATTTGTGCATTAATACACAGTACAGATCCTTCCTTTTCCTACACTAGAGAGGATCCATTTGTAGTACACTGCTCTGCTGCTTCAGATAATTTCTTTCTTTACAATAACTGAGATGCTAATCTGTAATTGTAACAAATTATACGGGATTATTGGTCACTTATGGACCTTTATTTTGTATTTTGGAAATGTCTAACAACTGTATAACAAAAGCTGATGTAGTTGCTATCGAGTGTTAAAAAAACTATGTTAATGGCAATAATAAATGAAGTTCTATTATACACTCCTGCTATCACAATTTATTGTCTAATTATAATCTTTATTTTTGTGTTGGGATAATATCATCAATGACACGGAACTTTTTAAATTGATGGTGCTATGCTATTTATTTGATAAACTTGTATACCACAGAGGCAGAACGCCATACAAAGCATTCCCAGATTGTTATCCAAAACTAAACTTTTTTGCTTGGATTCATCAAAATAGTTGTACTCTATACGCTCCAACTGAATAGCTCAAGAGCTGGGTATAATAAGGGAGGTGAATGTATCTATACTGACTTTTCCAGTTTTGGATGATTGTGAAAATCATCCTAGCCATGGCTGAATTAATTTTTAGACCTTTCTGCCCTCATGAATCCATTTATTTATTTATTTATTTATTTATTTATTTATTTATTTATTTATTTATTTATTTATCTGTTTACTTATTTGTTTGTTTATCAAATGTGCATGCCAGCCTATTCCCAACAACTCTGAGCAACAATATGCACACTTGAGGTAGTTTATGCAATGGCTTTGGTCAGATGCTTGAAGGTTACCAGTCAGTCTTTATGAGATGAGAAAAGAAGCTATTGCTTTCTTGGTTTCACACCACTTGCCTTGTAGAGCCTTAACAAGTTCTGTATGCATTTTTGTTTGTTTGTTCTCTGTTTTCTGACAAATTAGTTGTTCCTTAATGCTTTTGAAGTGCAAATACTGAATCAGATGTTCTGGAACCTGGATTTGAAGTCATGATTACAATGTCTTCTACGTTCTCTTCTCATTTTCATTTGGGTTTGTACTAAGCGCTCTCACAGTCTTTCAGGAGTACTCCCGTAAAACAGCAACACACCTTGTAACCAAAGGGTTTAATCTCCCCCACTTATGCCATTTTCCTGCAATCATTACATTAAATCATGTTGCTTTTCAAATACTCAGCCCCATGTTGCAAGAATCTGATCTAATTTGCCTCTGAGAATTATTTTTCGGTGCAAATATTTATGCATTGATCTATGGATACAAATAATTTAAATTGTATAGAATATTTCAAATTGTATAGAAAATCTGGGCCACTATTGTTTCACCCTACTTCACATGAGGGGTTCCTTATCCTTTTGAGAGGCATGACCCTGGATTTTTCTTATCCTCATTAAGGTTTTTTTCCCCCAATAAGAAACAAAGAAGTAGCGGGGGGGGGGGGAATAAAGGGAAGATTCCAAATGAAAGATTTTGTTTGGAATGGACTCCCACACACATGCACACACAAAGAGCGTGAAATTCCATGAATGAAGCCAGCCACCAATTGCATTATAAATTAAAAGCCTTGTTAGGCAGTTTCAGAAAGAGTTTGGAAAAGAAATCCCCTAAAGTTTACACTTAGCTCGTTCTGTTTCCCAAAGGAGCACAGTCCACAGAACATCAAAATGCTGAGCAAATAATTTGGTGAAATGAAGCAACCGTCTGTAATGTAGGATTAGGGGGATGTGAAATGGAGACTTCTCTGCTTCTCTAGAGTGGCTGTTTCAGACTGACCACCGAAGGAAAGCTAATAAGAATACAAATATAAAAATCTGAAGCTTTCACAAGGAAACCACAATGGCGGTAAAAAGTATCGAACAAAGTAAAGGGCTCCTAGAAGCTGTTGCTAGGTTACCCAGACCTCCGCATGAATAGAGAAGGAGCTTTGGAAAGCCTGTTTGATGGTTGCAAGCTCCAGAGATAGTTGGTCACATGACACAGTTTAGACAGCAACCTTTGACCCCTTGGCTCTTTTGTTCTGGTGTACAAGGAACTCAATGGAAGCGATTGGTCCAGGCGCCACACTGGGTTGGAGAAATCGAAAAAGGGGCTACGAAACAGCTAGTTTGGATGTTGAGAGACATTACTTCTTCTAAATGAAAGACATTCAGCAAGCAGAAACTATTTCCTTGGTCTAAAGCCATGGAGTTTTTTTAAAAGTTGTGAGAACCTTTTACATTTCTTCTTGGTCTTCTGTATAGAAAGATTTTTTTTAAAATTCCTGGATCCTAAGTGGTATTTCATCTTTGCATGTTTCTATTTGCTTCCCCTTTTCATTTGTTGTTGGGCTTATAGTTTGCTTTTCTTCCAAATATGCATAATGGTACATATGGTTCTTACCCAGTTTTTTCACACCACAAACAACCCTGTGAAGCAGGTCTGCTGAAGGAGAGATTGGCCCAAAGTCACCAGTGAAATTGAGTCTCCCAGTCTTAAAATAACACCTTAACCCACTAAATCAAATTGTCTGCTTCTGGAAAGTGATGTCTAATTTTATATGTTATTTTGTCCTGTAACCCAAATTTGCATAAACAAAAAATGGGCTATTCTATATTCTTTATTTTAAGAGAAATCTATGTCTTTAAATAAGGAATATTAAGAACAGGCTTTCATATAACTAAAAATCAAAAACAGCGGTGGTACATTCAGGACAAGTGTGTCTGAGATTTCTTTCATCTCAGGATGTCTGGCTTAGTTCAATGCAACACTTGTTTTGCAGCTGTCTTTTGCAGTACTCTTTTCAAACTGGGAAACTATCCTATCTGTAAACAAATCTCCAGTCTACAAGGACAGATTATTTATCTAGGGTCTGTAATCTGCGCTCTTCAGGCAGAAATTAGGTATTCAGTTCAGCCCTCCTACTCTATTGAGCCTCCACACTATCAACCCGCTCTACTACAAAGATCCTGCAGGAGAAGGGCAGTGTGGACAACCATGGGATCTGGCAGGGTGAGAGCTGTGAACCATAAACACAAAGCTTTCGTTGTGTCCCTGCATAACAGACAGAGTGCCTTCCTGACCTTAATAGGGACATTAAGGAGAGAGGTCAAGGTAGTTGTGATGATAACTAAAATAAGCAGGGGATCATGGTCCAAGATGAACTTGTTTTTGACAGGGAGAAGTGCGAATCAGATATTACACATCAGTCATGCAAGAAGAGAAAGGCATCTAAAAAGAGAAGCCACCTTCTAGTTGGTGATTCAATTATAAGGGATGTAAATTTAGGAAAGGATACAGAGGTTTCAAAGAGGTCAGGTGTCTTCCAGGTGCTACTGCCAGTAGGGACAAGAAGCGTATTTTTAAAATAGTCAAGAATGCCAGCAAGGACTGTGATGTGGGTGCTATTGTACATCTTGGCACTAATGATCTGTCCCAAAAAGATGTATTCTCTGTGCAGAATGATTTCCAGAGCTTGGGGCAGGAACTCAGCAGGATAGGCTGTAGGCTTACTTTTTCAGAGGTTTTACCAGTATATAAGGAGCAAAATGGAAAAGGCCAGCGTGTAGCAGAATTCAATATGTGGCTAAAGGAGTGGTGTAAAGGGGAAGGCTTTGGTTATATTAGTCACGATGTCTGTAGCTGGTCCAATGAAAAAATGTACAAAAGAGATGGTTTGCATCCATCCAAGAAAGGGACTGAGTTACTTGGCAATAAATTCACAGATTTTCTGGAGGAATATTTAAACTAAACAACGGGGACAGTGAGTTAATTGATACAGAACATCCCTGTCCCCGGCAATCTAAAAATTATAGGGTTATCAGTGCATGTAACATAGATGTGTGTGTGTGTGGACAAGAATATCAACCTTGCTGTCAAGCAAAATCAAGCTTTTAATAGCGAATGCCACACAAAGTGCACTAACCAAACAGGTGGTAAGAAAATAGGGGAACTCAGGCACCACGCAGGTTATGTAGAAAGTAAACACAGGGTTAGTCATAAAGGACTCAAATGTCTATACACCAATGCACAGAGTATGAACAGTAAACAGGGTGAACTAGAAATTCAGGTAAATGAGAGCAGATATGATATTGTTGCCATTTACAGAAACACGGTGGGATGAAACCCACAAATGGAACACACAGCTAGTGGGATTTAAATTATTTAAAAGAAACAGATCAAACAAAAGAGGAGGTGGAGTTGCTCTCTACATAAGAAATAACTACATCTCTACAGAAATAGAACACAACAATGATGAAAACTGTCTTGAATGCATTTGGGTCAATATAAAAGGGAGAAAAATGACATTGCCATAGGTGTATACTATAGGCCAGTGGTGGCGAACCTATGGCACGGGTGCCAGAGGCGGCACTCAGAGCCCTCTCTGTGGGCACGTGCGCCGTCGCCCCAGTCCTAGGCCTTCAGCTGGGTTTTATAAAACCTTTTTGCTTTAGGCCTCCGCCGCCATGTGCAAAAAAAAAAAGGTTCAATCAGTCAATTTCAACTTCTCACGGGAAAAAAAAAGATCTTGCAAAGTTGGAATTGATTGATTGAACTTAGTCCCACCCAGTCTGCCCTTACCGCCACAGCCACGCCCACCCAATGGGCCACACCCAGCCAATGGGCCACACCCACCCGGCACTCGGCGAAGCATAAGTGGGTTTTGGGTTCCAGTTTGGGCACTCAGTCTCTAAAAGATTCGCCATCACTGCTATAGGCCACCCAACCAAACAGAGGAAATAAATGAACTTTTTGCTAG